ATAAAGGTAAATGCTATAAAGGAAAAATAAGCCACATCATACAAAATGTATACAATATCATTATGAGGGTCAATCGAAGAAAATATGTACAAGCATACTGTAACATTGACGTTGCCTACCCAGAAGTGGCATACACGACGTTACTTATGGTTTCCCCGGTAATTTTAGTTTCCAGGGTAGTTTTATTTTCGCAGGTGCTTCCGATTTCTTAGGTACTTCTGCTTTCTTAGGTACTTCTGATTTTCCACATGATTGCGGTTTCACGAGTACTTCTGGTTTATGAGGTACTTGTGATTGGCCGGGTACTTCCGGTTTCTTTGGCACTTTTGTTTTTCCAGGTACCTCCGTTTTGTTAGATACTTCTGGTTTCTTAGGTGTTTCCTGTTTCTGAGGTACATCTGATTTCCCCGGTGTCTCACGTTTCTTAGGTACCTCTAATATCCCAGATGCTTCCTGCTTGTTAGGTACTTCTGGTTTTCCAGGTACCTTCTGCTTCCCGGGTGTATCCGGTTTCTTATTTACTTCTCCTTCGTTGTTTTTCGTTTCTGTGGGACCTTCCTCCTTCTTCTTCTTCTTCCACATTTTATCAAATAAACATTTCCCTGTCTTGGAGCAACAGAAACATACTAGCACGCACGCATAGATAATTGGAATCAGCATGGGTATTCCATGCATGCTCGCGAGCCCTGAAAAATAGTCTGCTATTGTATAACTACCATACGACATGTAATCTTGCATAGTGGGCACAAGGAATGAATACAGGACTGTGGAGACTACTATAAGTATTGACCATGCTTTTTTCCCCATTTTACAACGTGTCCATTTCTTCAAACCTCTTCTACAACTGCTCCCTGCAGTTCCACCCTGCGGCTTATTCTTCGTCTGCCTTGATCGATTCGCCTGCATCTTGGACTTCAGTCCCTTGCACACGTTACCAAATACCGTGTTCTTCATGCGCCTACTCGTAGATTGACCATCGTAAAAATTACGTTGACCCCGTTTCCCTACATCCGTTGCATCACTCAACGATACGGTGGTCGTTGCAATTGTACTTGCAGCCGCAGTTCCAACTTCTGTGCCATATTCGCTTGTGACATTACCCGAGGATGTACCTAGTGTATTGGCCTAAAATGTAGAAACAAAGAGCGGAATACATATGGGATTGTTATGGTGTATATAGCATGATGTAGAGCGTGAAAATAAGTGGAAAGGCGGCAGATTTATAATTGTTATGAAAAAGATAAGAGCTTATCACAATAAAGGGGGTAACTCCCCCAAAATACAGTTGTTACTATCATACACCGTCAGCAATTTGCCATAAGCAATGGACTAGAAAAAATATAGAGAATTTCACAGGTAACATCATTCTGTTTTTTTGTTTTCCCTTTAGAAAATGTCAGAAGTGACAAGATATTTTTTATATGTATGAGTTATAGAATTGTTTTCTCCTTCTTCCACATCTAGTTGTATAGATTTTGCGTGTAACACTGCTTTCTATTTGCTAATAATGAACATAGATATAATCAATTTTGTACGAGGTTTACTATTGTTACCTAAATGCATTAATATATATTAAGTGAAGAATCCATATCCATAGTATATGCGGAGAAGGAACAAAGTGCGTATGGCAGAGGGACCGACCCATTCTAATGTACGTTATACCAAGTAAAAGTTGACTAAAGGGGTCAACATTTTTCACAATGTCAGCACGGCTACATTAATCATGTCGTTGTGTTAACGGTGTAATGGGAGCAAAGGGCATATGCAAGAGAGCAAAATTCCATATGTGGAATAACACTATACTATTTTAAATTAGGTATAAGGGTGAGGAAGATAGTAACAACATAATAAATTATACCCCTTTTACATACAAGAACGGCGAAAAGTTTTTTTTTTTTTTAGGTGTAGAGCTGCGGGCTCGAAGTTACATTGTATCAGTGTTTTGGGGGGGTCATTATTGTCCCGTATTCGCATAATTATACATGTGTCGTGGCCGTTTTTTATTTATGGGGGTCGTCATTTATATCGTTCTCAGGTTTTATTACGCGTAGTGATAAATAATAAATGCAGAAATATAGTTTCACAACGTTCTTATGCGTATACTCGCATCTGTATCATCCTTTTGGCAAAGTGTGAATGGATTTAATGATGAGTGTAAGGAATATTCATAAAAAATGAAAGATAAGTATAGGGCGATTTTGTATTTTGGTGTTTAGGGGGCTTAGGATTTAGGCCGTAAGTCTTTATGATTGCGCGGTTCAGGTTTGCACAGTTTCAGAATTGTAAGATTTCAGGATTGTGAGGTTTGCGGGATTGTAAGATATCTGGGATTGAAATTTTTCAGGGCTTGAAAGGTTCCGGTATTGTAAGGTTTCCGGATTATTTTGTTGCGGAAAACCGATTTATGATTCGGGCTTTAAGGCTTACTGTTTCAGGATTGTAAGGTTCAAGAATCCGTATGCAGCATTCCGGGTTGCGGATTCCAGAATAAGGGTTTACGGTTCACGGGTTAAGAAGTTGTAGGGGGCTTAAGATATTAGGGCTTTTTTTTTTTTTTTTTTTTTTTGAATAATACACCACTGACCATTATAAATATACGGGTATATGCATATTATGCTAGTGTTATATGTATAAATCACTTGTGTACCCAAGTACCTAATATTGTTCCGCACAAACCCAACGTCAGTTGCATCCAGTGTACCATGTATCAGCATTTCGCGACGTACGTCTCTAGTGGTTTTTTTTCCGTTTGTATATTATTTTTTGGGAGTAACTTCCCCAATAGTAAGTTGCTTATAGTTCCTTTTGGGAACAGTGCGGCAGTACCAACCCATGTGCATTTCCACGCGATTATATTTGTGCGTGCTTGTGCGTGTGTGTGTGGTTGTGTGGTTGTGGGTTGTGTGCATGCTTACTTTCCAAAGGGAATAACCAAGAAGGGCGACGGTGACGGAAGTGAGAAAAAACAGGATGGGAGTAGTGGCGGTAAGGATATCGCCGGTTAGGTCGGGTGCATGGGGACCACTATTCGGATTCCTGGGTGTGCCGGGGTATTCAATAGGGTTCTTAGAAGTTCCCGCATCTAAGGTCGGTGGCGCCATTCCACCACCAGGGTTACCATCCTTGAAGATGCCAGGGTCATTTAGAGAGAGACCCGAGAAATCTCCCTGGGAGCCCGTGTCCCGGCCATTGCCACCTGTACCTGCTGCACCTGAACCTTCTGTAGTTCCAGTACCAGCACTGGTAGAACCGGATCCGGAGGAACCGGGGTGTTGGTCACCAGTAGAACCGGGTCCAGATGAAGCTGGCACTGGTTCCTGCCCAGGTTGCACCCCTGATCCTTCCTGGTTCGTACGTTGTGTAACCGGAGTAACATCTTGATCTGTAAGTTAGAACAGGAGGAAAAGAATATGAAAGAATCTGCACCTTCAGATATTTGGTTGGGCACACGGTCGGCTGACGACGGGTGCTTGGGGTCCATCGCTCCCGGTTGACCACGGTGCGAACGGTGGTTGGCAGGTGCCACCCCGGAAAAAGACTCTCTCTCCCACAACACAACACAACACACACAGTGTGTCGACGTCTGTCGGTCTGTCTGTGTCGACGTCTACGTCCAGCGGCCGACCGATCGCTCTTCCGTTCATTCTCATTCGACGTTTGGTTTCTCTCTCTCCGTGGTGTCTCTCCCTGTGTCGCCGGAAATTGTGGTTGCATTTTTTGTTGTTTGCTTTCTTGTCCTGTTGGATGTTCACGCAGGACACTGCCTGCTCCGGTGTCATCAGGTTTCTTGTCACAGTCATCATCGTTTTCCGACGTAGGTGCGAAGGAAAGGACGATGCTTGATGTAGCACCGGAGATGCCCATGCCTGTATTTGTTTCCTTAAATACCTGAGGCCCCTGTGTACACTTAACTTTGTTGTCTGCAACCTGGTCTGTACTGGTGCCTCCCGAGGATTGATCTTTTCCACTACTGTCTCCTCCTGCCGGTGCTGCAGGAGGTGCTGGTGCCGGTGCGGGGGCGGGTGCCTGCGGTGAATCCGCCGCACCGTTATCTGTCGTGTCCGGTGTATTTGCAGTACCTTTGAGTTTGAACGAAAAGGAAGAATATGGAAATAACTCAAGTGTTGTGCGGTGGATGGTCATGGTTGACTACGTGGTCAGTCGCTGGCGATGATGGTTGACCACACGTTCTGTCTCTGATGGTGGTTGGTCGTTATGGTTGACCACACG